TGCTCCAGCGATGTTTGTGGCTTTGTGGCTAGCGGCTAGCAGCACCAACCTTGAATTATGCTAGAAATTTCTGTAACATCCACCCATTTGGGTTTATCATCATTTCCCTCTTGAAATGGCAATTCCTGAAACAAATCAGGTACCAAGCCCAAAGTTTTTTAAATAATATTGTAATATATTGTATATATATAATTATATATACACAATATTATATATACAATATTATATATATATATACATCCCGTTATAGTTGTACACATTTATACACTATATAGATAGATATATATATATATATCATTTTGTATACCACCATATATGTCCACAATATTCCCAAGTTTTCGTGGCCAACGTTCCCTTCCAGGTCCGAATTTGGACCATCTGTATCGGAGCTCACTGAACAGCACACAGGTTTGCGGAAGGAAAAACTGGGGGCTTTTCAGAGGGATTTGACCATGAAAAAAATACGCACAATGGTTGGATTAATTAAAGTGTTTAATGGTTAAATGAGATTTTGTAGGTAGAACGGGGACGGAAAAAATTATGAGTATAATTGTGATTTAACCATCCAATTTGGGGGATTCTAGATGTATTTCATGGGGAAGAGTTATGAAAGTTATTGAGGGGTCTTTGCAGATCGATATATCATTGGGGATAACTATTAATAGGTAGATATCCCATTAATGAATCATTGATCATAAATATCCCATTAATCCCAATAATAGGGGATAGAATTAATGGGTAGAACCGATGGTGTCGTTGCTTGAAAAATTCTTCAACCCAATTCGGGATGATAACGCTGACTTTCATGGGGTTGAAACCACGTTAAACAGGTTATCCGGCCTGGTAAACGTTTACATAGCAATGGAAAGATCCACCATTTTTAATGGGAAAATCGACTATTTCTATGGCCATGTTCAATAGCTGCGTTAAATTACCAGAGGGTAGTTCATTTCGATTGTATGGAACTGATCAATTTTAGGTCCTCAAATCAGTTTTCCGGGTTTAAAGGCGAAGGGCAACCAAATTGACAACGACAAGCGCGTGAAGAATGACTGTTTTTCATCAGCCGCCAGAATGATATCAAACTGACTGACCAACCCCACTTTTCAGCCCACTGTTCAGCCATTTTTGCTGGAGATGTCTCCAGTCTTTCTGGTTCCTGTTGCACCAGGCACGCAAAAGAATTTAGGTTTTGCACCTGCGGAAGCCTTAGTTGGAACACCTGCGCAACTTGTTGCTTCCCATAGGGCTCATCTGGTTGATGATTTCAAGAATACCATACATATTTAATCATATTTATACATATTTATCTTCTGGTGAGCAGAAATGGCAATTGAACATCCTACTGTACATAATATGTGTGTATATATATACTACACTTAGAGGTTTTTAGCTGGGAGAATCACTTGCAAAGAGTGGACTTTCCAGCCGTCTTTATTTAAAAGCTGCAGGCTAAGCCTCTATTGGGATGATCATGATTGAAACCAACCAATCAACCAGTCATCCATGATGCGTGCGTTTCCCATCAGAATGCATGATGCGGGAAACTGGAATGGTGTACATTCATTAAAATCCATTGCATGATATTGCATGTGTGCATCAAATATCACAGAAATCACCGGAGTTTCATGAATTGTTTGATCCTCCAGAAAAATAAAAAACCCGCCAAGATGCCGGTGTATACCCCAAAAAGCGTGATTTTCTTCGGGAACGTGCTGATCGACCACTAGATTTGAGGGTAGCACATGTTCAGACAAAGCAATAATTAATGACCGGAGGGTAAAATCCATTAATAGTCTATGATATTCCCATTAAACACCAGAAAAACACCATTAAAACAGCATTGAAACACCATTAAAACACCCCTATTCCTCAATTTGGCACAGCCATCAGTAAGTTAAAACATCCCATTTGATGCTCATAAAGACCGAGGCCACAGGCTTCTCTTCCTATGTGCCAAGTGTGAGACTCAGAGGGATCCCCACCTGCCAGGTGAGGGTCTCTAGATTTGAACGCGGGTCCGACTCCTCACGTGGGACTTTTTTGGTGCCTGGACCCGAAAAAAAAAAATCGACAGCTCCGGATACAGTGGGCCACGCCTGGACCCGAACACATGCCAGAGAGAATGCCAGATAGAGTGCCAAACAGAATGTCAGGATATACGTCAGAATCGATGCCAGATAGAATGCCTGAAAAGATGCCAGAATAGATGCCAGAAAGAATGTCAGAATAGATGCAAGATTGCATGCCAGAAAGAATGTCAGAATAGATGCCACATAGAATGCCAGAAAGAATATCAGATAGAATGTCAGAGCAGTATATGCCAGAAATATCCAGAAATAATGTCAGATAGAATGTCAGAATATATGCCATACCCTATAGGTCAAAAGTCCTATTCCCAATAGGTCTTTACCTAAAGACCTAAATAGGTAACAAAAGACCTTATAAGGACCAAGGACATAATAGCCTTAAACATGTATGTTTTTGAATTCTTGTGCCATCAAGAGTATCCAGATTGAAACCCTGGTTCATGCTGACGATTTCTGACGCACTTCATTTTTCTCTTCCGTCACGTGCCCATGCCTAAGTATTTGTGAGCCCGTCGGCAGCATGTGAACTAATCAAGGCAATCAACTCAAAGTTTCAGCACCGGGTGGTACCTTCCAGCATTCGGCTTCTATATCTTGTTATCTGCGATTGTTTCTCTTCAAGAAATTGTGGAAAATGATATGTCTCTGGGCTGTGCACATCCTGCACCTCTGCTGCAGCACCCTTCCCTGGATAGGTCCCCGGATTGACGTGTAGGTCTTTCGACAAAAGACCTATACGCAATAGGTCTCCGACGCACAGGGCATTATATACTTCCAGATGGTATGTCAGAAACTATGTCAGAATAGTGTGGGTGGGGATCACTCAAGGAAAGTAGTTTGATCCTTTATTTGTTGCTGTAAACAGAAAATATCAGAAAATAACCATAAACAGCCAAAAAACATTGTGAACTACCAAAGATTGACCGTGTTCAGAGCTGGGTGATAGAATCAATAAAACTGATCCAAAACATTCCAAAACTGGATTTTATCCTGCAAAATATGTCAAAATATGGCGAATATGGGGATGAAACCATATGAAACCACTTTTGACATTTCCACCTGGGAAATGGACATGATGATCCACATGGAGCATTTTTGGGGATGCGTCACTGAAAAGCACCAACCGAAGATGTTTGCTTCAAGCTACAGCCGCACGAGATGGATATTCCTTTCGCGTATACGGCGAGTGGTGGATTCCATCGTATTTTCCATGTTAAATATCACTTTGTTGATAATACCAAGTTGCATCCCAGTTTCAATCCCCATAATATATCGGTAAAATGGTAATCGTCATCGAGCAACGATCACTTGCCTAATATGCAACCATTGTTTTGATGCGTAAATCTTTGAAAACATCTGAATCTTCAGCATATCCCCATACTTAGATGGTTAAATCAAATCATGTTAAGTCATGTTAAACCACCATAAATCACCATTAAAACATATCAATGATGGTTAAATCCCCATGTTTTTCCCCTCAAGAATTCAGCAAACCGGCGTTCAGGATCACCCTCGCCACCTTGGGATGGTGCGGCCATCAGGCAATCGGAGAAAAATTGGGATATGGAAGGGGATGCTAATACGATTTTCATGGGATGTGAATAACGTTAGTAGGATTTGGGGATATTTTGGGATGGGAATAGGATTTTGGGATGCTGGGATTTGAATGGGATGCGAGGAGCTGGATGCCACTTGGGATTCGAATGGAATCTTCATGGGACACGTGGACCACGATCAACGCTAAGATGTTCGGATCGCATAAAATTGAGACCAAACCATTTGGTGGCATTAAACCTTTCATGGGGACATCCAATGCACAGTTAGGATCAGTTAGGGTCGTAGATGCCACAAATTTCCACCGGTTGGTGGATTGATAGATTTGGTATCCACCCATTGAACACGGAAGAGATAGATGATGGCAAATGGTATCGCACAGCTGCCCCTCTGTTTTCTCCCGATCGGGGCAGCCGTTGAATTCAAACGGGTCGTCTCCAGATTGCGGACCCTAGATGGGCTGGTTCACAAAACAGGACCCAGAAGGATCCAAATCTGGAGGTCCTAAATCTTGACCTGTGCCCAAATCACGCCAAATCAAGCAACAGACCCTCTGAAGTTCTGGGTTTTCTCTTTAACTTCGGGCAGTGACGATCATTGAGGTTTTGCCTTGATTCCTGCTGTAAGTGGCAAGTGGCTGCCTTTTTGTCAACCGCTGAGCATCAACTGCTGGTGGTTTGAAATATATTCCATGCTCTTCCACCCCAGCTTGGGAGCCTGGTCCCCCATTGACTGGTATGTTTGGCAACAGCCGTGAGACTTTTAGTTTAGGGTTTTAGCACTTCAACAATTCAAAATAATTCAATCTGGTCTGGTTTCTGGTTGTTAGACTGTTAGATGCCCTTTGTGTCCAGCGTTGTTTCCATCCCTTCACCTCCCGCATGACTGTCAGTGGGATGCATTCCGCGAGGTGCGGCGGGTTGTTTTTTATTGGGACCGGTTGGCGCATGAGACGTGATCTCCCAAATTCGATAATGGTGCCCACAATTTGTACATTACATTACATTACAATACAATGCAATGCAATACAATACATACATACTTCACAAAACACATACATAACATGCCATCCATCACAGACATATCATATATATAACATATATAACATACATAACGTACATAACATACATAACATACATAATATAATATACAATACAAATACAAATACAAATACAAATACATATATGTCGATTAATATATAGACATATATATATATATACATTATATACTTATTTATCTAGCTATCATAATCATTTTCTCAAGATCGTCATTTTGGAGGTTTTCCCTGACCATTGTGCTTTCCATCCTCAGCCCTCAAGCCCGCACCAGCGCCATCTCAAGCCACCTGGCAGCGTCATGGCGGAGACAGATGAGGGGCTGCTATGCTCCACGATGTACAGAGTCCCCTCCACATATATGAGGTGTTGCCTCGACTGCGGCGTGTGCCAAGGAAGTCCTCCTGTTTTTTGGGGCCGAAAGTTTGCTGGTGATCAAAATTGTTGGTTGGAATTGTGTGGCCATGGCAGTTTATGGAATTGATGAAGGATGTAAGGATGGTGATTTGTGATGATTTATGATACTGACCTGGAACTTCTAGAGCAAGTCAAATGTTGGAGCCCTTTTCGGAAGGATGGTCGCCAAGTAACTGGCACACGTGTTCTGGCGATGTTTGGTGTAGGCCTTAACAGCCCCAGTTGGGGTTCACCATGATTCGCCATGATCCGCCCCCAGGACAACCGCGATTCCCTGAGAAACTGGAGCCCTGCTACACTTGCGGGGTGACCTGTTGTCCCTCGTGCTCCACAAGCCACAAGCAGCGATGCAAGTTGGCCGGATGGGAACAGGGCCACACGGAGAAGCAGTTGCCTGACGAAATTTTGGAAACGTTTTGGAAGGAGGCCAGGATTCTATGAATAAATGCTAAGCCGATGATAGTGGTATCAAGATCCAAGAATCCAAGATAGCACAGGAATGAGACGGATCTCTGACTTATTGTTTTTTTTCAGATCCAACTCATCCCAACTCTAAGCCAAGCATCTCCAAAGCCAACTCACCGGCAAAGAAAGACAAGATGTTCCATCCAAAAGGCTGAAACCTTCCGAGCTAATTGACTTTCCACGTTTTTTGGATGATGGGTCGAAAGCTGTTGAAACTAATATTAACCAGATTGTGTAATGTGTAGTACATCACATAGTACCCAAAAACATCCAAAAACAAGATTAAGATAAGTCTAAGACTCAAATGCTGCTAAAAAGTCCTGATTCATGATGAAGAATGTGGTTTCAAAACAATGTCATAAACCAGCCATTTGATATATATATAATTTATAATGGACATGTCATGATAATTTAAGAATGTCATAAACCACCAACCACTAATAAAATATGGCAGTGTGTCAAAACCAATAGTACCCCTTCTGTTCACATCAAAATAGCTGGGATTACTGGATGTGAATAACTCCCTAAAAATTGTATTTTCATAGGTATTGATCCATAGCCATATATAGTTATATCATGTTATATCCCGTTATATCCCTTATAAATCACCATTTATAGAGGGTTTTCCAATAAAACTTCCCACTATATCACCATTTATAGATGACTTTCCTGAATATATCCTGAATAATGGTAACCATACCACCTATCTATGGTGATGACTGGGTTTTTTTCAGCGCCCAGGATCCAAAGACATCAGTTGCCCAGGGCTGAGCTCAAGCTGCTGACACAGAAGGAGGGAAGCGAAGGCGGCGTGAACGATGGGACCAAGAATATGGAGACCCACTAGACCTAGGGAGATACCCTAGGTATCCCTAGGTAATCATGTATCATGTTTATAAATAAACTATAGATAAATATATGTATTATGTAGATATGTTAAATGATATTATGTTTATATAATTATATATATATGTACACATTATATATATATTTTTTTAAAAAAGGTGCGGATGAGTATGGGTTAAGTACGGTTTAGGTACGGGGTAGGTACGGGTCAAGTATGGGTTGAAAATCAATACCGAAGGTCTTCAATCAAAAACCCTGGTCTTCCTATCTTTTGCAAAATAATTCTGGTTCTTGTGTTGAGCCCGATGAATTCTTGGGGTTTTGGTTCTACGGATGTATATATACATATATTAAATTGATTTAGGGCCTCTCGCTGCGGGGATTTTGCTGCAGCTGTCAGCAGCTGCAGCGTGCGGATTGACTCGCACCGCCATCCTTCATTTTCCTTGCTTTTGGCACGTGCAATCGCACTTGTATCGCCAGTTGTTTCTGTACAAGTTTGGAGATGTATATAAATATATAGATATAGATGTATATAATAGATATATATAGGTATAGATATATATATATAGAGATAGATATATACATATAGATATATGGATATATATATAGATATAGATATATCGATATATGGATATATAGATATATGATATATGGATATATAGATATATGTATATATATATATGGATATATAGATATATAGATATATAGATATATAGATATATGTATATATATATGGATATATAGATATATAGATATATAGATATATAGATATACATATATAAAGACATCAATGAAGTGGGAGGATTTCATGAACCACCTTGATATCATGGGGGCGCAGGCGACCTCGCGAAGCAGTTCCTGCTCCGTGGGAAGCTGTTGAAGCGGCAGCCCTCGTGGAAAGACTTCGACTACGACATGGTGCAGCCACAAATGGGCGAGCTGATCGCCGAAGACTTGTGACGCGACGAAAACGTGAAAAGGGCGGCGAAAGGTCCTGAAGATAGGATGAAACTGGGGATATCATGGGAATATTGTGTAGGAGAATAGTGGGATTGTAACCAACCTTATGATATCGCAGCATTTCAAAATGTTGCTAGACTTAGAATGACATTTTGGGGATACTCCCCAGATTGGGAGATTTCACAGGGATATTTCCTGGCTGTGTATCATGGTGTATCTGCACAATATTAGTGCGATTGGTACCCTCTGGTCATTTAACATAGCTATTGAAAATGACCATTTATAGTGGATTTATCCACTGAGATGGTGATTTTCCATAGTTATGTTAGTGTACCAGAGGGTACCTTACACATCTGCGTTATAGCCCTTGAATGATAAAAATGGTGAGTCCACCCAGCAACCATCCGATGATTGGGTTTTTTGGATATCTCAGGATTGGTAAATTTTCATTTTTTTTGATTGCAATCCACAGGGGTTGGTAAATGTCCTTATTGAACATCACCCAACAATTGGGGATATAATCTCCAACAGATACTTGTTCAAGTGATGTGAAACAAATGCCCAAAACATCGACATCTACCACCCCCTGTCCCATTCAACCCAGCTTTTCCAGACCATCCGGGGGCTCTTCGGTCATGATCCCCGTCACCATGGTTGTTTCAATGCTAAGTCATGGTCATCCATGACGACTGCATGACTTCAGCAAGAGTGTACCCTCTGGTAAACCAACACAGCTATTGAAAATGGTCCATAGAAATAGTTGGTTTACCTATTAAAGTGATGATTTTCCATCTTTTTTTGGTATGTTTACCAGAGGGTCCCCTTATGACTTACGAAACCTCCATATGTTTCATTGCAGCCCTCCGTTGCGGCTCGAGGACTTGGGCTCTGGGCTTTGTCGCCTGGTTGATCAAGGCGTTGAGTATCGACCGGCACCTGGCGAAGGCGGAGCAGGCGACGTGTTGGAGACTGCCAGGTTTCTGGTTTATTTATGGGGATATACATGGGATATATATAACATACAATGTGGGGCCTCCTAGATAGCTAAGTTGGTTTATAACTCCAATAACTATGGTTTATTGTACTTATAACTGGGGGGCCCCACATTGTATTGAGTGGGACATCCCATGTATAACATAAATATTTATATTACTAACATATCTTAACCATCTATAAATGGAAATTGAGTGGTACATATGATTGATGATAAATAGACATATAGTGGAAATTGATGGAAGAAGGTTTGATCATAAATGGAAATTTAGTGGAAAATTAATGGAAAAAATATTGATGATAAATTGAAATTTATTGGAAATTAAATGCAATGGGAAAGTCATCTATAAATGGTGATATAGTGGGGAGTTTTATTGGAAAACCCTCTATAAATGGTGATTTATCAGGGATATAACCGGATATAACTATATATAGCCTAGCCATATGTGCCATGGCCAAGTCAATGGTTTATTTCCCCATGGGTTTGTTTGACTTCACCCCATTCCATCCCATGGTGTCGAACACATCTCCAAAGTTTACCGGCCACTCCATGTGTGCCATGGTCAAGTCTCTTGGTTGAATTGCTTATATATATATGTATATGTATAGATATATATATATATATATATGTGTATATATATATATATGTATATATATGTATATGTATATATATATATATGGGGGTACCCCAAAATGGATGGTTTATTAGGGAAAATCCTATTAAAATGAATGATCTAGGGGTACCCCCATGTACGGAAACCCCCATATTGGAGGATGGGTCAAAACCTATCATACCGTATCTAGCCAGGATAATCGTCCATTCATCAGCTATTTTTGGGGTTCACCAAGGTACCAGGGTTTTGATTCATAGCCAATATATGGGAATCAATCCATAAAAGTAGGTCTTTGTTTAAGTCATTACGTTTGGATTGCCCTGGCATGGGATTTTTCATGACCATAAACCCCATATATCACATCAAGTTGGTTATCTATAGTCCATTGCATTCCGTGAAAAAATCCAATGATATTCCCATCAACTGGTTGGTTGAATCCTACACATTCATCAATGGGAATATGTTTAGAATTGTTTCTTGGGTGATATTCCCGTTCCTCAGCGGTTCCCAGTGTTACCCTCTGGTAATTTAACGTAGCTATTGAAAATGGCCATTTATAGTGGATTTGCCCATTGAAAATGGTGATTTTCCATAGTTATGTTAGTTTACCAGAGGGTAAATTATAGACCCTTTGGTTATGACTAACATAGCCATGGAAAGATCCACCATTTTTAAGAACGGTACATCATCGAACTAGCTATGGGTCATGGCTTCCATAGCAAACTGTTAGTCAGAACCAGAGGGTAGCCGTTGTCATTCGATGGGAAAGTCATGGTTCCCACATTCGATGGTATGGGAAAATCATCATCAATCCATCGTCATATTTGGATTAATCCAGTGTTTTTAGATTCCCATGGGACAGATGACCAGAAAAATCATGTGAAAAATCCCTCTTGTTGTTGATTAATCCCTAGTATCCCTATTTTTCCTATGATATTCCCATAATGGAATTCCACTATTATTCAATAATGTTATTCCATTGTTATTCCCAATTATGGTACTGTTATTACTATGCGTTAACCTATTATAGGGATAGTCCTTATTCAATTCTTCATGATCTTCGCCCTGTGTTCACTCCAGCATCCCAACTTGACCTTCCCAGGACTTCAAGCAGATCATCGCATGCCTCGCCGCCCTGGAACCCAGCGACACGTCGTCGGCGGCACGCTTTGGCTTTCTGATGATCGCGCTGCTGCTGCGCGATCCGAAGCACTTGGATCATCCGGAGCAGCCCAGCGTGAAGATCCGGGTGATGATCCGTTGAAGATCCAAAATGCGGGTGTGAAAAGGATATATATTTAAAACGAACTAGAAAAATCTGAGGATTTGTATTATGTATATATTATGCATCATGTATCTATATGTATATATACCAGTACAATATAGTAAAGGCCAAACAAAAACTGGTGGTGTGACTGGTGCTTCCACTGCCACGTGGGCTGATCTCGCTTAAAATCACCAGGTGGTGCCTAGCCGATGCCCAAATTGTTGCCCAGTTGAGCCAAGTTGCTTCTGTGATTCTAGTTGGCTTGATATATGTTTTAACTTGTTTTCAGATGATTTATCATGTTTTGATATCATGTGGAATGTTGTGATCCATGGTAAAATCCAATTAAACTCATTAAATCCCAATCCCATTAATATAACACTGAGATTCCATTAAAATACGTGCTTTCCAGGGAAGCACCAGCGCTGTGTCCGATGTGTCCAGAACATCCCATTCTTGATAGAGTTTCAATCATCCAAAATTGGTGATTTCTTGGATTTCGTTGGACCATCCACCGTAGTCAATGATTCTTCTGATCATAAGAACAGTTCATGATAGTCATGATTCTTCATGATAGCTCATGATTCTTCATGATAGTTCATGATTCTTCATGATAGTTTTTTGATGTTTGTATATGTTTGTTGTTTGTTGATTGGACAGGATGCTTTGCCACTGATGCTGTACCGGGGGGGAAGCCTCCACGGATCAGGATATCCCAGCTGATGCGCATCGCTCTGAGATGGCACCATGGCAGAGACAGGAAGATCCGTTGCGATAGATGTGCATGTGACATCATTACAGTTACATACATATATAATATATAACATCTATTAATTATATATATGCTACATATATACACATATACTACATATGTATATATATATGTAATTATATACATTACATACATACATACATATATATATACATATATATACACTACATATATATATATATACTACATATATATATATATACACTATATATATATACTACATATATATATATATACTACATATATATATATAGAGAGAGAGAGGGGTCTTCAAAAAGAATAACGAAACGTCCAGGATGACGCAGATGATGATGGAAATGCATCATTTCCAGGTTGGCGGTTGTTTCATCGATCTATTTTTGGGGTTGCAATTTGCCAATATGCATACGATATAGTCAAAATAATACTGTTGAATTCTGTTGCTCAGTGAAGTGACATGTTTCTCATCCCATGCTTTCTTTCCCCATGGATATTTCTGGGATGGGTGGCTTAACCAATCAGTCCCTGTTTACTGCATGATGGAAATCTCTATAGAAAACCCATATAATTGTATACTCATTAGACATATGATGTATCACATATGCAATACTAGCATGGTTTGATATGCTTCGCAGAAGCAGCGGATTCTTCCCATCACCAGCCAGGTATAGCCATGTCTCTGATGGGATCTTGATGCTGCAGATGAGTCAATTGTTGGAGATGGCCTTGAGTCGACAAGTCCATCCCAGACAGCTCCTTGAAGTTTGCGAGGACGAAGCCTGCGACAGGCCTCCGAAAGTGCGGTAAATCAACGAACGAAATGGACCATTTCCCATAGCTATGTTAGATTAGCAGAGGGTAGTCCAATCAGGTACATGGTTTAATTATGTATATTATGTTTAATGTGGTTGATCAATGTTTATATAATATATATAATATATAATTATATACATATATATATATACGTATATACATATATATATATATGTTTCATTGAGTCTACCAGAAACTCCCAGTCATGGAAAAAAGCCCGTGGTGTCCTCCAAGTCGTTTCCCGTGGCGACCAATCCATTTTTCTACTCCCCGTGAGTCCATTATGAAAAAGTCCCATGAAATGGCCCCAAAAAACCTCCATGAAATCCCAGGAAATCCACCGTGAATTATATGTAAATCATCCATTTTTATGTGTGGATTTAATGGGATTTTATGTGTGAATCGTCCATTTGATGTGTGAATCATCCATTTTTCACAGACCCGAATGATGCGTTTTCTCTTTCAACGCTGCGTGGGGGCGCAGACGCTCTACCTGCAGACACTTCTCCTGCTGGGGCTCCATTCGCGGTCGGCGGGCAGCTGGGAAAATCATCTACTAGATCTGCCTGAGGCCGGAATGTGGACTGATGTGAACTGATGTGGATGACCTCACTGTGACATCGGTGCCTGGTGGTTTATAAAAAAAACCAATGGGTACTCATCCCAAAGGGGCTGGCAGTATGACATAGCAGCTATTCTCAGATGATTGAATTAGTTATAATTCAGCCAGACTGATATATGATGGTTTAAGCATCAAGTGGATGGGGATATATATTTTGCCAAAAGCTGGGATTAATTTGGGATTTAGCCACAGGTCAAAGTTGAATTGATGTTTCTTGTTCATTATCACCACTGACCATAATCCCATCTACTTAATCAAAAGTACGCGCAAACCCCCCAGTTCACTCTTAGGGATTTTGAAGGAATATTGAATATAAATTCCCACCCCTGTTAAACTTTAAATTCTATTGGGAAGATCAACAAGGGTATTAGGAAGAGGAGCGAGACACGGAGACTTAGAGTCTTGCACACTTTGCTATGAGACCAAAAAAAGATAGGTGGTTGGGGCAGAGGATGGTGATGATGATGTTGATGATGAAGAAGATGAAGATGAAGATGAACATGATCATGATCATGATGATGATGATGATGACGACGATGATGATGTTGATGATGATGATGCTGTTGTAACATTCAACACACAGGTAGCTAAGCTGTGCGTTGCAAGATGAAAGCCGTGATCATGTACATGTGGCATTTTGTCCCACAAAACTACAGTGTTTTTTTGATGTTCGGACATGTTGTCGGCGTCGGCGCGGGCAAACTGAGGGGTTTGCCCGCAAAAGTACTATAGTTAAATATATGGCAATAATCAGATGAAAAACAATAGCACCAATAGCACCAATAGTACAATAATCCCATCTACTTAATCCAAATTAACCAGACTTCGCATCTTAGCATATCTGAATCTACTGGTACTTAATCCATATACTTCTTTGGTAATCATGCCCGTGGCAATGGAAAATCCTCCATTTATAGATGGAATTTCCCAGCTATAAAGCCTCCATTTAATTTGGGTTCCCATAGTTTTCCTATGATTTTCCCATATAAAAAAACATGTTTTTCCCCTTGTTTATAGGGGGATTTCCCAGCCATGTTGGTTTTTTTTGTGCCCAGATCCCCGTAGAAGATGAGTTGTTCCTGCGTCGAATGATCGCCCACGTCGACCTGAAACTCGGCGACGGATGGGCGATACCCAGAAATCGGAGTTGGTGATCTGTGGATGAAAATATATGGGAAATCCGGTGAAAATATGGAAAATTTATTGGAACATATGGGGAACATATATGAAAATATAAGAAATATAGAAAGAAACTTGGGAAAATATGGGAAAAGATCACCCGAACCAGTGGGAAAATCATGGGAAAATCATGGGAACAATCGTATTTTCCGGCAAGCCATGTTCTTCACTTAGATTTGCTGAGTCTGTGATTTGTTAGTTGCCCTGTGGTAAACCCACAAGAAGTGGGGATTTTTTGGGGGGAGGGGAGGTGGGGCCATCAAGCAAATCTATGTTTAGATTTGTGACCAAAGTCTAATTTGGTTATACGTACTACTGGTGATGATTCAGAACCAATTTAAACTAAGGTTCTTGTTTTTCGGATGAAGAAATTGAACTAGGATTTCATGATAAAAGGGGACAAACCATCATATATTTGACTGTTATTTCCAATAAGATGGGGATGTCGGAGATATGGTATAGAAACAATAAGACTGGTGGTAGGATGGATTGGCGGTTTCAAATACCTTGATTTATTATCTCTATTCAAGGGGGTGATGTTTCCAATTTTCTTTTCATTCAACCCTGGTGGTTTGGCTCAACCTGGGTTGCTCGGGAATTCAAGTCAAGCCATCCACCTGCTGTGAGTTCCGTTCGCTCCGCCTGAACCGCGAGCTACCCGGTTCTCGAGGGAATTCTACCCAATACCTGGATACATTATATACTGTAGGCTTAATTTCAGTTCTATGCGTTTCAACAGTTTTCAATAGCGATTATCCCATGAACCAGCATAGACCCCCCAAATAGCGCGGAAGCCCAACAATGGCCGGTTTTGATAATTTCCCTACATATTTTGGTCATGTTGGGAGTCCATGATAAATTTCCCAGTTTGCACCATTTTTGGGATCAGAAAACCCGGGTCGTCAAAAACCTCTCATTCTTTTCGAGACTTGCTGTCTGCACTTTGCGCGGCTTCTTGTTTTCTATACCCTTTGGTAATTATAGTAAAGCTATGGAAAGTGGCCCGTTCATAGATTCTTTATCTATATATTAAAAATGGTGATTAGTCCCTAGCAGACTGTTAAAAATTGACTCCGTTGTATATTCAGGCTATCCCTTTTCATCATCAATTCTACTCCCATATTGTTATATATATTGTTCTTGGTAGACCCCAATAATTAACATCATCAATGGAGTTCACTCCCATTGAAAAATCCCAAAATCCCAAAAAATCCCATATGTTCTATATATGTTTTGCATCACCGGAAGCCAAAGGAGGGAGGTGCAACAGTTCCAGAAGCCCTTCCCGTGCCCCGTGTCCGCACTGTTCCTGCAATCCTGGGAGGCCCAGCTAGCGGACCTGGATCCGTTGATCGGATCCGGGACCAAAAGGGGCCGCTCAAAGATGTGCGTATAAGTATATGTATATATATATATATACATACAATATATATATATATGTACAGTATATATATATATACAGTAAATACAGTGTATATATACACACATATGTGTATATATGATTATATATGCATATATTTGTTGGTAAATATGTATAATTTAAAGGATTTAGGCCATTTAGGCTATAAATGATAAATCTAATTCAGTACATTATAGATTTACATGTTGACCTTGGATGACTTGGAGATCACCATGGATCCAGCAAAAATCATCAACATCCACGGTCCTAGCCACGATCCTAACTTCGCAGATGTCGTCACTGTCGTCATGGCTGAGAGGCGAGTTTGAGTCAAGCTCCCTCCATTCAAGAGGCTCGGTAGAAACTCTTGAAATCGGCGCTTGGGATGAAACACCATCCATGTTTTCACTGGGCTTTTTAGCCGGAGGTTTGAAACGGTTTCTCTGTCATCAATGAGCAGTTCTTGAACTGAACTGAACAGTCTTATACTGGCTCGTTGATTGGCAGTCCCAGTTCATGGATGAGGATGAGGATGGTGATGATGTAAGATATTTAAGTGTTAAAGATATCTATGAAGATACTTAAAGAGATATAAATATAAAGATCATTTAAAGCATGTAAAGTTCTTAAATTTGAACGAAAGAGATACTAATATGTTTAAAGAGATTTAGAAAAATATTTGAATAGATGGAAACATATTAAAATATATATATATTCAAAGCGATAGAGAAATAGTTGAATATAGGTAAAAAATACTTAAATATGTTTAAACAATATAGGTAAAGATATAATTATATATGTGTATACATAAGGATATAAAGATATCAAGATATACGGATATAAAGATATAAGAGACGCAAAAGATACAAAAGACACAAAAGAAACATAGAAATAAACATATAACTATGTAACTATATATCTATGTGGCTATGTGACCATGCAACTATGAGACTACAACTTTGTTTAACAAAAATAAAGACATCATGATATGAAGATGTATGCGTGGTTACATGATGTTACAGACTAGTTTAATCCCCCATAGTCATCAACCCTCGGTTTTTGTTCGTTTGGCAGATTGAGAAAAAATCAAGTCACTTCTCTCTTGAGGAAACTCCTACAGTAGCAACGAGATCCCTGGTAGTACAAAGAGTTTATGGGAAGCGACAAGGAGAATGGGAGTTGCGCTCTCTGGAAATGCCAGCAGGCCTTTTTTTTCCTCATTGCTTAGATCATGGAGAAAATCCCGGTTGTTCATATTTGTTCTCACTCTTGTAGCCATATTTCGGCGCTGGTGGTTCCCCCCTCGAGACCAGGGCTTTGAAAAAGCGGATGGTGCCACGGGCGCGCTGGTCCGGAAGTATCTGGCTTCTGCAGATCTCGAGGGGTCAGAGAAGGAGCCGCTGAAGGCACGTTCCAAGACGATAAAGGTCTCAGGTCTCATGGCCCACCATAGGTGGACCCCAAAATGAGTCCACTTCACCGGGGCTTATGGCAGGATCCTGTCGGGCGAGATCTCTTTGATTCTACCGATCCGCTGTGAAACCTATGTCTTTCTCCTTGCTTCCTCCGGTTGGACTGAACCACAATGCCCCGGATGATCCCAGATATGTGTTAGTCTGACTCGTGTCAGACTATTTCACTACATATCTCAGAATGATTGCATGTCAATACATCAGAGATCATCAGATTCTTTCAGGCAATACATGTCTCTGCTATAATAGATGTCAGATCCATGTCAGGCTATTTGTTATCTAACTAATATCAGCAGGTATGTTAGATACTATCTCAGTACCTTAATGCGCTGCACCTTGCTCGACACCCTTGTGTCGTGTCCCCGCAACGGAGGTCTTGGTGAAGGAAGAGAAAAGCGTCATCATCGAGGCGGCCGTTGCGGACTTAATGCAGTTCGCTGAGCTGCTCATCTGGGAAAACCCGGAGATCCAGAAGAAAATGCAGGAGATGGACTTGAAACCTGAAGATGTCAAGGCTGGAATCCAGGGGAAAAAGATGGAAAAAGAAACACTTATGGTGGGGATATTATTTTTAGATCAAGCATCATCTTCCGGAGGATATAAGATGATCAAGAATCCATAAGAATCCGGACCCCTTTTTAAAAAATGAGCCAAACAACGGATGCTTGGGGATGACCATGATGACCAACCAGTCATGTCTTGGGGCAAAAAACTGCCATCCCTGGGGAGGTCACCTACAGTGTGGTGGCCACGAAGGAGAGCCAAGTCATGGTGAAGATGCTGCTGGACGCCACGCAGCTGGAAGTGCTGATGAAGAGGTCCAAAAAATGGTCCCGATTTCATCGAAACCTCCTATGAATTTTGAAGATGTTACCCTCTGGTAAACTATCATAGCTATGGAAAATCACCATGTTTAATGGGAAAACTCACTATAATGGCCATTTTCAATAGCTATGTTAAATTACCAGATGGTAGTGAACATGTTGAAACCATCAAGATAGCTTGAACATGTTAGAGCATTGAAATAGCTGATGGTGCAAGATGCTGTTCAACGAGCTTTTTGTTTGATGGTCACCATTGTTCAGTGTTTTCATGAGCACAAGAAACATTACATCGTTGAATAACATTGTATTTTATTTCATCATTGAGGATAAAAATAAAATATAATAATAATCATCATCATCATCATCATCATTTTTTTGGTGGTCGTTCAACCACCATATTGGTGATGGTGATCCTCAATGACGCTGGCATTTGTTGGGATGGTCAGCTCAAGCAACAAGCAGCCCCAAGTGGGATACCATCCCCATATCTTGGCAGGGTTGGTGAAGGTTGGTGTTTTGCCGCTATTGTGACGATGACGCGATGACACCGTGGTGTGTTTCTTTTTTCGTTGATGGGTGGTGGCAGTGGTTTTTTCCCTCCTGCATGATATGAAAGTTCGATCCATCCGGCGAGCTCTTGAAAGAGCTCCCTTTGAGTTGGAAGCATCCTATTTATTTCTTGGATTCAACATGATTCAACTGGACCCAGAATTCCAACAGGCACATGGATCACTTGGATCACTTGCGTGTCAGGCCGGCCGGGGAGTATCAGCCCAAGGATACTCATCGGAGCCTCTTTGAGATTCTGAGTCAACGGCATCACCGGGATGTTTGCCGGGCTCAAGACATCTTAGCTTTCACTTCTGCAGTGTCGACCGTGTTGTCTCTTGGATTTGCATCCAGTGGGTAGGCTGTGCAATGCTGTGCATGTGGGCATGCTGTGTTGAACAGTAGATGCTTCTTGGATTTTTGCTGAGTTTGGCTCATGGTCAGCTGAGCATACCCAGTACCTCGACAATCAGCCAGGTGTTAATATAGCGCAATATAGATCAATATAGTCTAATATAGTGCATATAATGTGACAAACCCAATAATAAGCCTCCACTTGGAGACTCTGCTAAAAATGGAGGACCCCAAAATCATCAACAGATTGTGATGTTTGATGGGTAAACCGTGACCTATGACTTGGGATGATGTACCTCTGGGGTCAGATCAGGAATGGTGCTTAAAATGGTGTGTTTGACCCGACCCCATTCTCTCGAGGTCATTTACTGTATATTTGGGGGACCGTCATGCGGGCAACGTCATGCGGGCAATGTCATGCTCCGGGACAATGGTGCCTATCTCCACATCGACTATGGCTATGTGCTGGGCAACCAGCCAGGAATGCATTTGTGTGCCTGGCCCTGATTGGCAGGCAGTGATTAACCCAACCAATAGGTGGTTCATGGTGGTTCATTACCATCTAACGGGTGGTTCAATTATTTGCGTACATTTATTTACAGTACTATACATTACATTTATTTGCTATACATTAGATGTCTAAATATACATAAATACACATTATTCTACTACCCTTTAGGTGATGTTGGGGTGTTCAATCATGTGTCAGTGTAAAAGTCAATCCACCATGAACGCAATCCATGCAATGTTGGGCCGGGTTCTCCTTTGTTGTGTTTGTAAAAAACTGTCGTAGGCTTACTTGTGCTTAGTAGGGAATTTTCGGGAATGATCCGCTGGCTAACTATCAACAAAATAATCCCAGCAACCCCCAGCAACCCATTCATTCCCCACGTCAAACGCGCACCGTTTTTTTCGTAGGTTATGGTGCGAATCCGCAAGTGCGCTTGGATTATTCGGAGATCTTCACCGCCATCACCGAAGAGCGCATGAAGAACGTCTTCTTTGAGGCGATGGGGAAAGGCCTTTGGTATCCCATAGGATCCATGGTGCTGCTATATATGGTAACATTTACCATCAATATACCCCAGTCATGTTAGCATATATACCAACACCATGGATCCTATGGGTATGGAGGACCTTCCCCCATTTTATGTGCCCGTGGTGTGTACCAGAAAAACGACATGGAAAAGAAAACATCTCGTTTTTGTTTGGGTCACCTCTCCCTAGCAGCAAAACGATACTGACTCAATGATACATAATGATACTTAAGGATGTTCCCCGGGCTGAAGAAGTGATTAGCAATTGGTGAAACAGCCCGGTGTAATTCGAATGTAGGGTTTTTTCAGGAAACGAAAACCAAAGGTTGCCAACCCTTGGGCTAACCGTTGCATCAAAACAAAGGCTCTAAGGGGATGAGCCATGGCAGCCATGGAAATATCCAGAGAATCGGCTTCATGTTGCTCTCCCACCTGGAAATCGGTACTCAGATTTTGGGCAGGTGGTGAAGCTGTCATACCAGACACTGCGAGATCACTACGATGAAATGGTGGCATTTGTCGCGGACATTTTTCGAAAGGCTCCATGGCATCAACTTTGCAGTGAGTTTTGAGGAGGGTGGTGAATCAAAGTAGACCATTGGCCCTCCAGTCCAAACCAACTTTCAGTGATAAACCATGATAAACCAAACTTGGACAAGTTAGTTATAGTTTTTTTGTTCCAATAGTTAGCGGATGTCCTCAATCCTTTTCGATCCTTCTCTACCAAGAACAAATCAGAAGACATGCCATCGGTAGAAATGCACTATTTTTTCTGGGGCCCAATATGTGTTATAATCAAAAGTTGGATTATATATGATTATATTGAAAATAAACAGATCATTAATCCATTAATCAGGAGTTATATACCCATTGTAGCAATATACAATACGATCATACACAATCTAGACATATCATGATATAACATTAATATAATAATATATATATACAATTATATACATACATTGGATCCATCATATCCATCATCAAATCCATAATTGGATCCATCCCATTGTATATACATTGATATACCGTGAATTAAAAAAAAAAACAGCTTTCATGGGATGACCCGTTTTCCCCATTCGCCATGGCTAGGCAAGTCGCTGCCAGGCCGCTTGGCATTGGATCATGAAGGGTGAAAAAAGTGGGGTTCTCTTCATGGGATATCATGGTTTTTTGCCACTTGCACTATTCTGGGGATTCAATGGGATATTCATGGGATTTCATGGGTATATATATTATATATATATATATATATATATTTGTTTGATAATTATGACTCACCAACTCACCAACTAGAAATAATTATATAATCCCATCCCCGTGGATATGAAACACCGGATAGAATGTGGAAAGTTCAAAGAAAAAAATCACTACGACAATTGGAATATGTTGAACAATTCTATTTCTATTGGCTTCAAGATGATTAATCTATATATATATATATGTATAGAGAGGTGCCTGACAGTGAGAAATGTCCATATAATTCGTATCTTATAGTATCTTGAATCGTATGTTGGACCTTTTTCAGATCCATAAACAACTTACTGGTGCTAAACGCAGGGAATTTTCGGGAATGATCCATAATCACTAGTAATGTCATCATCCCAGCAACCCCCAGCAACCCCCAGCAACCCATCCATTCCCTACGTTTAGCACCAGTTTACGAAAAGGGGCTTTCGCACGCCGGTAAACCGGGTGTCGAGGCATCATCTCCATTGGAATCGTTGGAGAAGGTCGCCAAAGTGGTGACGAATGGTCGGATGGTCTCTGAAGAATTGGCTGCTCGGTGTCTACGTTACGAAAGGTGTTCCCGGAAGTGATCTGGGTGATGGTTAGGAGAATTTTGGGAGAACTGTCCCCAGATCATCGCCATAGTTTTCGGTGAGTGAACTGAGTGAACTATGATGAAATTATATGAAATTGACCCAGTGATGAATCTCAGGAAAGGCCTTTCGGCACTTGACCCAAAGGCCGCGGGCCTTCCTCTGGGTTTCCTGCTCTTCCTTTGGACCGCCCAGGCGCACCAGAAGGCACAGAACTTCTTGGCTCCACGGCTGTTGTGGGGAAACCCAGATCGAGATGGGGTCTGTGCAAGCTAAATGAATCACTGGTTGTAGATATGTTTACTGTTGAACACATGTCAGACTTGTCTGAAAGTTGGCTACACCCCCAAATGGCTATTTGAAGAGGTACAATTATGATTAGCCAATGAATTTAAGGCTACAGAATTTGGGACAAGCCCATATTTGTCCATTCATACCCGGGAGAAGCACAGCCTCTGATTCGCACATATGATTGTTTTATATTCATGATTATCCATTGGGATTTTAACCAACCCATCCGAAGGTGAATCATGGTAAAGCCCCATACTATGGTTTTATTATTGGAGGATCACCTTGAGCCTCAAATGGGCTTGGTTGAATCCCCATGAGATGTAGCTTCGCTCGCCATCAATTGGTTTTTTGTGTGAGAAAACAGCCTTGAGGCCAGGATTGACCGAAGTTGAGGGGGCGCGATTCATAGATGCTCGCTTGCGGTTGATCACTGCGAAGTGAGATGTCTATTTTTGGGACGATTTTGTGGTGGGTAAAAATGCGGTTTTTGCTCGTGCCTGACATCTCCTGCCTGCCCCAATTTCAATGGGAATTCCAGGATCCTAAAATGGAGGTACGTTAGTACCATATAAGGCCATATTCTGGGGGTATCTCCCCTTACATAGGCCTGAAAAATAGGCCTTATATGGTAGGTACCTCCAATGAATCGGTTCCTGAGATGGCCAGTGACCAATGGATTCGATTCCTTAATCTCCCCCCACTTGCTGGCCATCCGTTACCTGAGGAAGCGTTCATTCTGTCCGAACGGGACCACTGGCAATGTCGCATGCACCTGGGCCTTGATTTGTCAACATGGGGCTTGCCATAAATGGTGGTACCCCAATAGCTGGATGGTTTTTGATTTTCGATGAAAAAGACCCTTGATTAAAAACCCTCATATTTCTCCAAAAATTGCAAAATGGACGAAGTCCCCTCAAGAATCCCTAAAAAAACACTTGTCATTTATATGATATCATATTTCATTTGATATCATCATTGTGATATAAACCATGTGTCTCATATTTCCCCATTTGATCAATGGGAATTTCAGGATCCTAAAATGGAGGTACTGTACCATTTAAGGCCATATTTTATGGGGATGTTCCCTTACATAGGCCTTACATAGGCCTTATATAATATATATTATATATGGTAGGTACCTCCAATTTAGGATCCTGAAAATCCCATTGATTTGATGATTTATCACCACTTTCCCTCTTCAAATTGCCATTGCCGCGGGTCATTTCCATTTCCGCAGGCACGACTCCAACCGGGCCTTCTACTCCAGCATGCCAGGGCTGACAGGGGCCCCAGTCGGGTGGATGTGAATGATTTTAGTATCAATATTTTTAGATACCCTGAAAAATCCACATATCAATGGGTTAGTAATTATATAAATATACCCTTAAAATGTGGATGATCAATTGACATAGACCCTGGTTTGAAGTGGAAGCGAATCTTCCAAGCCCGTATCTGGCAGAGTCTATTTACTGCAATTTATATACTGGAGGGTAACTGGTAACCTTTTTTTATCAGGATATGTTATAAGGAGATACAATGGGATATAAAATGATATGATGTAAACAATATGAAACTTTGGGTATCTTCAAATTATTCATCTGCGGCAAAAGTGCCATAAAAACCGTGGGAACATGAGATTTTGAATTTTGGATTTTGGGGCACTTGCAACCTGAGTCCTGAGGACTTCAACAACACAGGTGGTGGCTTCCGGCACCAGCAAAGTGTGTCTCGGTCAAACACGGTGGATCGAAATCCTTTGCAGAAGCGCTTGGAAAACATATTCTGGTTGGTGGTTTGGAACATTTTTTATGTTTCCATAATATATTGGGAATTTCATCATGCCAACTGACGAACTCCATCATTTTTCAGAGGGGTAGGTATACCACCAACCAGTAAACCATTTTAAACCTTTAGAGCTTCACGACGTTCCTATGGTTTTTCCAACCATTGCAGCACCATTTGTCTGAGAGAAATCCGTCCAGATGATCCTCAGGACCGGAGCGGTGATCAGCATGGTTGGACAGGTTGGGCAGATTGGCACGCGTGTGATGAGACTTGGACACCATGAATGATTAGTATACCATTATTATGATTATTAAACATTCATGTGTATTGTTGTTATCATTGATTGATTGATTGATTGATTGGTTGGTTGGTTGGTTGATTGCTTGGTTGATTGATTGATTGATTTGATTGATTTGATTGGTTGGTTGGTTGGTTGGTTGGTTGGTTGGTGGATGGGTTGGTTGGATGGGTTGGTTGGTTGGTTGGTTGGTTGATTGATTGATTGATTGGTTGATTGATTGATTGTTATCATTTTCACTTTTTCATTTTTATCATTATCATCATCATCAAGTGGTTTTATTGATTATTGTGTTTATTTATCAGTATTCTGATCAGTACTAGTATTGATTGATGATTATTATTACCATTATCCATCCGCATCGAACCACCCATCATCAATATGATTATGATTATTGCTATTTATTCGTGTTATTGACGGATGATCATTCAGTATGGTTGATTGATTATTCAATATTACTGTTAGTATTCTTATACTGATTAGTTATTAGACTTTATGTTAGTAGATCATGATTATTGCTCATGATTATATATTGGTAGATGATTTTTCTGGATCAACTCCATGACCAACACATAGCTAATCTTCCCCACAATGGTGATTGCGTGAGGATGAATAGATCTGAGATTAATTTGATCATCCATGTATTTATGGTCTCAAATCTGCTTTGGGATTTTGATTTCTCAAGATATACTATGAATCATGAGACTGTATGTGTATATGATATAATATGTGTATATAAATATATGTGTGTATATG